GGTGGAATGCTGGGATGAAGTGCTGTCTCACACTCCCATGCAAATACAGAAAAGCAGCACTACAACTCTGAATACTGTTCCTAAGTGAAAAAGGCTCCTTAAGGACAAGTTTGCAGCAGACCTGGAGCCAGGGAAATAGAGCCAGAACATGGATGCAGTAATTCCAAGCTGACTGAGCTACAACATCATGGCAAGTCAGAGAGAAAGGACACCATCAAGAGCAGGAGGCAGAGTTGTGAAGCTGAACTCACCCCCACATTTAGGATTGGGACAGTTGCTGGCCAAGCTCAGGTAGCGGACGAGGCTCTCCGGGAGATCGCTGGGAGCGTAGGGAACGTTGCGRGTTTTCACCGTGCGCCCGGCCAGTTCCTGGAGGCTCGGGGGATTGTAGGTCAGGTCACGAACAAAACGCACCACCAATGGGTTCCCACGCAAGCTCAGCTCTTCCAGGTGRACCAGGTTCAGGATCTCTCGAGGAAGGTAAGTCAGCAGGTTATTGTGCAGGCTAAGGGAACGCAGGGAATCCAGCCTAAGGATGGAGATGGATACTTGGTCAACTGTGCGAGCAAAATTGCCCCACAACTGCATTATGCAGATCTAATTAGTCTCCCCTCTCCCACAAATTTCTTCTTCTTTGGCTTTTCTCCCTTTTAAAACATAAATTCTTGCTAAAAAGCTGCTCTTACTCCAGCACACAATGCACTAGAAAACTTGGCTCAGCACTGGAATACCTACCAAAAAAAAACACAGTCTTAAACATTGCTGCTGTCCCCCTCAGTATTCTCCACACACCCCCAAAAAGGAGGAACAAAAGCACACAAACTGAGTGCTTTCAGGGGRCATAACGTTTCCTTGTACCCAGTGCACGTGTCAAGAACAGTCCCATGCAGTGCTCTGAATAAGTCACCTGCTCTGTCTCATGCATTAAAGATGATTGCTGGGAGGCAGCCAGCCCTGGAAAGCCCCATGTTTTCATTGCTTGTGGCTGCACCACCTCGTGCTGTGATACCACCAGATCTGAGCAAGGTCAGGCCAGGTCAGCAGCAGCACAAGGGACAATAAATTATTTTCCTTTTGGATGAGGCATTTCCCTCTCAGGAAGCACAAAGCACTGCTCCCAAACTTGTAAAAGCTGTAAGACTTTGTACAKCGAGAATAATCCCCTTACACCATCAAATTCCAACTCAGAGAACTCCATGCTGTCATTCAGATTCTTTTTGGGTTACAGCTACACTTCCCATCTTCATTTCCCATCTTAGGCTACACAGACAGAGCTGCAGTGTCCTCTTTCCCCCATCATGAACAGATAAAGCAGTAACCTAGCCCCTAGAACTGTGCTGTAGGATTAAATGAACACTACAACATTCTGAAATCCTAAAGTAAGGAATGCCAAGGACACATGGGATGGTACAAGATAAAAGTACACACAAAAAGGTTTTGGGTRAAAGACAAAACAGATCAAGCATTCATTATTAATAAAACAGTACCATTCTTACTTCTTAAGGYAGCAATGTATCTTTGCTGAGTTGCCCAGGTACTTTTCAGGGCCCTCTATACAAATCTATTAATTCACTGCAAGGTGCAATCTCAGTGATGTTTTTTTTAACATAACCCTTTGATAAAGTTTACCAGATCATATATTCRTAGTGTGCCTGCAGTGCACCATGCCAAGGATGTTCTTTCTCAAGTCYAGTCCCATYAACAAACTGAAGSACAAATAGGTCCTCACAGGTRCTTTTATCCACACACAGAGAAAAARTTCAAAGAGTTAATTACAGCTGATGGCTGATGACAGTAAATACTCACTGTGCCAGCTGAGGTGGAATGCTCTGGATCTTGTTGTCACACAGAACTAGATACCTCAGAGAAGGCAGTTTTGCTAATTCAGGTGGAATTGCCGTAATGAAATTCCCTCCAAGGTATAGAAACTCTAAACTGAAAAACAGAAAGAAAACAGTGCATTATTTCATTAATTTTAAGTCTTCTTTAACATTTAGGTTTTCACATCTCTTGCATTTCTTAAAGGAAACTKACAGATGATTACGCACAGATAATTTGCTAAGAGCAAAAAAAAAGCTGAGTTGCACATCAAAATTACAACACGGCTGCTGTTTCACAATAAATAATGTTGAGATTTATCTCCAGACTCCTACAGGCAGGCACCAGACAACCATGTATTCCTACACCAACTCTTTATGCAAAGCTCCTGCTCCTATTTCCAAGGAAGTGCAGCTCACACTGATCCTGCTGCAGCCACTGGGAGCTCTCAGTTTTGGCAGGAGCAGAGCATGAGAGCAGTGTCTCTTCCTGGAAATCCTGGCTCTGCACCMGCACTAGCTGCTCTTTGTGGAATCATCTGACTCCTCGGTGACTAACTGGAACTTTTCAGCATTAGCCAGAGGCAGCCAGTCCCCCTTTGATACAATTCACATAACAACAAGACCACAGCACAGTGTGCCCAAGTCACACAAGTACATGCATGCAAGAGAGATTGATTTCATTACACTGAAATCATGAAGCCCAAAGCTACCAGAAACCATAGCTGGGCTTCACTGGGTTAGGGCTAGTAGTCTGGGCCTAAATAAAAAAAATTACTGCATGTCCTGTGAAAACTCAGTGGATGGGAGACAGGAATGGAGAGAGTCACTAGATCCTTTCTGCCAGGTGGAGTAGCCAGTATTTCCTGTGCATCCCTACCCTTCTAGGAAGAAAAACTGGCAAGCATTTCTCTTTGACACAATATTTTCAAGTCCCCATTTCATAGATTTCAATTAGCTTTCTTTTCCTGTGCTCAGTGGGGATACTTCTTGCTAATCACAGTCCAGCCAAGATTTTTGCCCATGTTTGAAAATGGTGGATCCCACAGTCCAGGTTCAGTATCTCCAGCACAGACTCAGTTTACCTGCCTAACTACAACGCACCTTGGCCTTCTCTTATCCAGCAAGYATTGCCCACAGGCCAGGGAAAGTGAACTCATCCAGGCTCCATCAGCCTTTAAGTACAAGTTAAAACTTCCTTGGGGTAGGAGACACCTTCATCTCACCCCAGAAACTGAGACATATGGCACAGAACCACACCAGACAAGGTCTGAGCCCTGAAACTTTGGGCCACAGCATATATGGAACACCAGGAACAGCAGAAAGAGTCTGTCTCACCCAGTTTTTGCAAGAAATTTGAAGCTGAGAGATCTGATGATAGGATCTGATTACACTACAGAGGCCACTACTGCAGCACAAAGCTTCCCCTGGATTCACTTCTATTTTTTGAGTATGTCAAAGGCAAATGAAATAATTGGAATTTGACAAAGTGGGTACAAAATTAATTCTTAAACTGGATTTGATTATATGGAAGGATGTAATGACAGACCAAGTGGGACAGCACATTTGGAGGTTACTCTGAATGTGCAAGAAAGTGCACACAGGGTGCTCCAATGTAACCTCTCTTCTATTCAGACAACCTGTAGGTGAGGACTGGGGGTAGGAGGAAGGCTGCTGTGCAGAGAGATTATTTTTAATTAACTTTTGATCCCCTAACAAAGCCCTGAGTTTTAACCAAAATTCCTCCTTCGACCTCCATTGTTTCCCAAGGTGGATTTAGGGCTGCTTGGCTCTCACCAGGGACTTAGCTGCTGACTATACAATTCCTAAGCATTTTTTACCTCCATGCCATTGCTGGAGCCCACACCAAAAACTGTTGGGCAAGGGAATTCTGGCAATGTGGATTTCAATATTTAAACAAGGTTTGGATGTGTACAAGTTTGCACTTCTTAGGAAAAGTGAATAATTAACTCCTCATCCTTTTGTTTGAGGACACTAATGCCTGTAAAGTGACGTGGCACAAAAATACACACAACCAGGGAAGAAGAGGGCACGAATTATATACTAAAAAATATTTTGGGAATTAATTTCAAGGTGTAAAATGTATGTGTTTCAAGAGCAGCTTACTGTACAAACTAAATGTGCAAAAACACTGCCTACAAACTTCWTACAGCTTCAGATCCATTCTTTGTAAGTCTGTAATGAGAACACWCAGTCATCACAGGAAGGATATAAAGACCCAACATCAGAATACAAACTGTCTCTAACTAAAAACCCACTAAACAAGATAACTCCTTCTCTGGCAACAAAGTGCTTTTTAAAAAATGTTTTCTTCTTGCTCATCTTCTGAATCACCTTTTTGGAGTCAGTAGACTAACAACTTATGGGGCCCAGTGTGGTACAGCAAATTCAGAATTTCCACATCAAGTTATGATATTAATTAGATGATTAATTTATGAAAAAAACCACATGGAGGAGGTTTTGAAACTACAAAGAAACTTATTTAAAACATATGAAAGATATTCATATAGCTTCCACCGAAACACTGCTCAGTAGGAAAACAAAATCCYTAACTCACATCCCTCAAAGTACAATTTGCTAGGAAGAAGGATCAAGCCTAGTCTTGGCTAAGCAAGGTGAAGGAATCAACAACAGCCATTTCTGCCTCAAAAAAAGTGTCAAGAATTGTCTAAGCAAAGCTAATCATGACACAGGAATGGATTTTCAAGGACATGAGCCTTTTATCAAGAGYACTGACCACAGCACTGGGATGAGAGTTTGTTTCCAGCTCATCTGCCCTGATTTTCATGTCACACTCAGTCTAGTATCTAGATCTAGTCTAGTATCTAGTATCTAGAAGCCAAGGTGATGCTGGCTCTCGAGTTGTCCTRCTTAGGGCATGGCTGTTTGCTGCTTGGTAAGATAAGCAAAAGCACTGCAGAGCTCTGCACTCTTCACACAAGAACCTGCAGTAAGTCCATCCACAACATTCACCACAGTTTTCTGCAGGAGGACCACAGCAGAGATGGCACTGAGCTTAGTGAATACTTCTAACTAACCTTTCACACTTAGACCTGGTTCTCCTGACAATCATTAATCTGTACAGTCATTTTGATTGATCAGCTAAGGTCTTGTGAACTGCTGTGTACACAGAACTGGATTTTTTTCTGCACTTACAAAAGTCCAGAATCTTCAAAAAGCYAGAGATCAACTATCATCAAACAAACACAAGCTCAGTTCCAATTTTTGAAGCTAGAATGACTGATGTACTTCCAATCTGCCACACAGACTCAAGCTGAATGAGTTTCAAGAGCGGACAAACACTAAAAAAAAAAAATCAATCTCAACAGAATCTGAAAAAAAAGCCCAACAACCATTTGACAGAGTAACTAATGAGGGTTGACACTTTCTCTCCTGCCTTTTAGCAATGTTGACAAATACACTAATAAAAGGCCAGAGTCCCTTTCAGCCTCATAGCCAGCAGCCCCCTGCTCAGCACAGCCAGTACTAATTGCTGCCAAGCACAGAGCCCATCATGTGGGGCTCCTTTCCAGCAGAGTATTTCATCCAGTTAGAGAGTGGCCATGAAAATACTTTTACCTACTAGGAGAGCAGTGGAGAAATGCTCTAACAAGTCTGATCAATTCAGGGAGTGGCAACAAAGGTTAATATGCAAAGAGACTGCTCCTTCTTGCTTGAGTATATCCTTGATGTTTTCAGGTCATCATATACCAAAAATCAAATCCAAAAGCCYCCAAACACAGTAAATAAGAAGAGCCCACTCATTTTTATACACAATCAATTACCACAGCACTCCCATAGTCATGTTTTAAGAGGATAATATCTTYTGGCATACAAGATACTCACATTTTCAATCCACCCTGTTTCCCCACAGATGCTTCTTCGGATAAAATTTAACAGCTGACATCAAACAAACGCATCTAAATAGGTAATCTAAAAAAAACCCAAACCAACAATGGTGCCTGAAATAGCTCCAGGTCTTTTTAAGATAAACTTTTTAGCAAGAAATTTCCAGGGCAGTTTTGAGGCTCATGCAAGGGAGGAATTTCAAAGCAGCCCACAGTACACTCCTGTTAACCCTGTTCTACGATTTGCTAATTCCTGAGAGAACTGCATAGCCTTTGCTGACACGCAAATTTAAGATCAAACGGTCGTCTGAACACTATTTGCAAAACGTTTGAAGAGGGGAAGAAGAGAGACAGCRAGCAGATTTCCTAATGCTGTATCTTTATCAAAGCTCCACTTGCCCTTTTTCCCACACTAACAGCTGTTCTTTAAGCGTATGCTTGTCTAACATGCTTAATGCTGCCCACGAATGAACGCAAACGCTCTGGTTTTCAATGCATCTAAGCCTTTACACAGACCTTGGATGAATCCAGTTAGGCATTTGAGGTCTTTGATCCCAGCCCTCGYACAACTGGGCTTTATTAGAGGAATACCAGCAAGGAGGTAAGGAACATACACAGGTCTTTTCCAAACTCTTTCTGCCTGCTCCCTGTGTTCTGCTGAGCACGAGAGTATTCACTAAGACAAAATTCACATGGGTAATTCAAAGTAATAGCTGTGTTTTGCTAAGCCCTTGAGAATTACTCACTTTATGGGACACTCGCAGGACATTTCCCAGGCCTGCACACTGATCAGGGCAATCTGTGCACCCTTAAGCCAAAAGGTTGCACCATGAAGGTAAGAACTATGTTTTACCAGACTTGCCATACAAATTTTGTGCCAGAATGGACACGAGTAGATGGGCACATTTYGAGTTCACCAGCTGTAATACACATTGCCCCACAGCACATTCCCAGCTGGATCAGCACAGGAAGGATAGGCAGAACCAATGCAGCAGTGGAATCTCCGCAGATCACAGTTCAGGGCTGTGACTTGAGTCTGAGAGAGAGTGACTGACCACAACATCTCCCACTGAAAACACAGCCAAGGTCAGCAGGGAGAACTACAGAGAAGATAACACTTGTGTCTGCCTACGCTAAGCTCGTATTTTATCTGGCAACAAAAAGGGAAGCAATGCAAAGAAGGCTGCTCTCACAGGTCTGGTGTGTTCACCACTCTAAACTCACAGCAAGAGTCAATTCTCAGGTCTTGTACTGGACTGACATGCCAGCTCAGGAACTTGGGGGTGCTGGGCATACAGGAGGACTTGGCATGGCCTCATCAGGATCAAGAAAAACCCCTCAGCTGGGGCAACACCTACATTTCTCAGAAACACATAAGACTGTTGCTGGTCACCCTTGATGCTTGCAGTGACAGTAGGATGAAAGAGCACTGAATTTTCCTAATGGGAAACATGAAACAAAGGCTATTCATCCTTGGTGCCAGCTTGCTATGATCAGCATCACCCTACTGCCATCACCAGAACAATCATCATCATAGACTTATGAAGTCATGCAAAGGAAGCTTCAAGCACAGAGGTGCTCCTTCCACAACAGCCTAGGATATAACCAATAATCAGGAACATGGCACTCACTTTCCATGCAGTCTGCATGCACTGCACACAGAACACTTGTGTGGGCAAGGATGGGGCAGATAGCTGGAGCAGGAAGGAGTATGACATGACAGCAGCAGGACTGGCTGTGGTTCTTATCACCAAGTTCATTAACTTGCCAAGTCACCAGGAACATGGCTGGGAAAAAGTTTCTGTACAACATGCCTGACCCAAATACAGCTTGCTGCAAARTGGTGGTTTTATTATCTTCCTGTAATTAACAACACGTGGCACATACCTCCCATTCCAGGACCTTTGTATTTGTAGTCATCAGCACGTTCCTTCTCCTTTGGYAGGTCAGACCCATCAGCTTTTTCCACTTTCAACTTTACCACACACATAGACTCCTTACCTGCTATATTCCTRGTCTTCACTAAAACTGACATGCTGTCCCTTCAAAAACTAAAACAGGGCACTATGGGGTGCAGAGGAAAGACATGAGGCTTAGTTATCAAGAGTTTTAAAAAAAAATCTCATCACAGCTCAGACATTCCTTGAAAATCTAAGAAGCATTTCTAAATTTCTGCAGCTCCAGTCTGCTCTATAATCAGTGACTGGAGCAAATGGGAAGCTGCCAGGGTCACGGGAAGAGAACTGCCAGTCCCAGGAACTCCAGTGGCAACAGGATCAATTTGACCAGTGAGAGTGCTGCCTGCATTCCCCTGTGGTCTCAGAGCCCCTACGATAAAGAAAATTTCTTTTTATGAGAAGTTGCACATGGAAAAAGGTTCAAGGTCCTGGCTTGTCAGCAACTCAAGACTGGCATTTGCAGATTGAGCTGTGAAGTTAATGGAAGCCACACCAACTTCCAGAGCTCCAACTTCCAGAGCTCAGAAATTACCAGAGGCCTCCACACTGCTGTAACAGCTGGCTCTGCTCTGTCCTTGCTCAGGCTCTTTTTACCCACTTCCACAACAAGCACAACCATGCTGAGGATGCCTCTCTCGTCAACAGCTCGGAGCAGAGTCTGGCAGCAGTTTCTCTCCAGAAGTTATGAAGTTTTTGACAATGGTTATTGGTTATCTGGGTCCCAATGAAGAGATTCAGGATTCCCTCTGGTGGAACAACACATTATAAAGTGTTGTTTTCTCCCAGAACTGGCAAGCCCTGTGCAGCTTCCTTTTGTTACTGAAGCAGTTCCAGATACAGAAGTCCCTGATGGCAGAGTGGTAAAGAAGCTGACAATCCTGGTGGGGCACAGATCTGCTATCTTGAGCTAAAGTTCAATGATATTATGTTGACATGTTTGCAGAAGTTCACTGAGGTAGCAGTGGTGATGTGGGCAGCAGACAGAAGCTGTGTCTAAGTGTAATTTTTGTGATGATAAACAATAAATGGACAGTTCAATAGCTTTGTCTGAATTTGCTCTCTCAGAATTATTGTTCTGGGGCTTCAAGCATGAGCAGCCCAAGAAGAGCTGCAGGACAGGACAACAAGGCGCCCTGCTTTCAGGGCAGATCAAAGGAACACAGCAGTGACAGCGGTGCAGTGTGGAGCACAGGTCACAGCCTGCTGGGGCACCGTGTGCTCAGTACCTTCCTGGGGACACCACACAAGAAAAGCAGGGCTGAGGTTTGTATTCTTGAGGGAAAAAAAAGGAAAAGACAGAGAAAAAACCCACCACAGACCAAGACCATATGAACAGTGGCAGGGAGCCTGTGACTCAGAGGAGGGAGCAACAATCGGATCCCAACCACATCCTGGATGCTAGAGACTTGTTATGGAGTTGTGTGATCATCCTCACACAACTGCCTTCCTCCATTGGCCTCCTGTCCCATGCCTCATTTTCTTTTTCATTCCTGAAGTATCTGTTCCTGGACAGAAAAAAAGCTGAGCTTTCTCTTCCTTGTGACAGCCCCAAAGAAGGAGGCATCACAACTCTGCCAAGAAGGATAAGGGGATTCTTCATCACTCAAAATGTCTCACAGCATCTCTCAGCCCAGAGAGCTTRACAAAGAATTGCTCCAAATCCTTAACAGATGCATGCTATGCCACCTGGACAAAAACCACAAAACCCAAGTGTATGATCCTGCAGCAGACAAAACCATTTCTCATCAGCACACAAGTAGTAGGTACTCTCACCTAGGCCCATRGGAGACATCACTCCATACAGAACATCCTATGCTTCCACTGCATGTGGCTCTGCTGAGCCATCACAGTGAATCCAGGTATTTAGGGTCAAGGCTACTGGAATTTGCATAAGAGAGGTGCCTCTGGCAAGTCCCTTGGCAAAGAGTGAAAGCAAATAAAGACCAGATCCAAAGTTTTAGCAGAGAGCTGCACAGAGAGCAGTCTGAGGCTTGGGAATCCAGCAGAAACACTGAGGTGCCTGTGTCACTTCAGTCACAAGCATCCAGCCTGCCCAGAACGACAGCAGGCTGCAGGAGCACCCAGCCCAGGACAATCAGGCAGCCAATACCCAGTGCTATCTAAGGGCTGTCCCCACCCCACCACTGTTCCCAACTGCTGKGATTCAGCCATAAGTTTCTGTATCAGTGGCCTGCAGTGGTTGCATACAGCCTCAGAGCCAGATGTACACTGCACTTGAGCAGAGACTGGGGCTCCATGCTTTGGGTCTGTCAGTACCTGTCAGATCTASAGAGTTGATGGATTGAGAGAAACACCACAAAACCCATCCATGACAGCAAGCACCCAGAGAGACTGCAGCTGTATTGACAGAAAGGCCCTGTTGTTTGCACCAGCCACAAACACATCTTTATTCTTTTGAGCAGCACATCGTGCAGCCATGAGCTGCATGACATATGGGGTTTTTCTCGATGTCACCCAGAGATATGCATGAAAGGAAAGCCATGGAGAGCCTTCCACATACCAACACTCACACGAATTACAGCATCACCAGGGGAGCCCAGGGACTGGGCAGTCTCAAGAGTCACCCACTTTGTGAGCACAGAAGGCCCATGGTCGCCTGAAGAATACGCACGGTCAATTGGGTTGGAAGGGACCACAGCATGTCCCAACCTCTCTGCTCAAGCAAGGTCATCTAAACCACATGGCACAGMTTGTGTTCACTGGAATATCTCCAGTGAGGGAGACTCCACAACCTCTCTGGGCAGCCTGTTCCAGTGCCTGGTCACCTCCACAGTAAAGAAGCTCTTCCTCATGTTCAGGACGAACTTCCTGTGCATCATTTTCTGCCTGTTGCCTCTTGTCCTATTGCTTGGCACGACTACAAAAGCCTGCCTCCATCCTCCATCCACCCTTTAGATACTAATATACATATTGATGAGGTAAAGAACGTCCTGGAGTTTTCATAACTCAACATGACCAAAAGGAAGCAGTGCTTGGAGACACCTGAGGCTGGAGAGAACTGATCCCCCGAGGGGGAGCGTGGCAGAAAAGCCGGCCGGGCTTGCCGAGCCGTTCCCGCGGGGCCCGTCCCTCACCTGTGGAGCTCCTGGATGTCGGGCGGGATGCCGTGGAGCCGGTTGCCGCCGAGGCTGAGGCTGCGCAGCCCGCGGAGCCGCAGCAGCGCGGGGGGCACCTCGGCGAAGCGGTTCCCGCTGAGGTTGAGGACGCGGAGGGAGCGGGCGAGCGGCGCCTGCCCCAGCCCCTTGGGCAGCGAGCCGGGCCCGCCCAGCCGGTTGTTCTTGGCCAGCAGCGTGTGGAGGCACGGCAGGGACAGCAACTCTGTGCCCATCTCCGCCAGCCCCGTCCCGCTCACGTCCAGCACCTCCAGCGCCGGGAACCACTGCGACAGCCCGGCGGGCAGCGGGCCCAAGAGMCGCCGCGGCGACAGCACCAACCGCCGCGCCTCCGCGCTGCGCCGCGCCGACAGCTCCGCCGCCAGCTCCGCCTCGGGCTCGGGCTCCGACTCGAGCTCCAGCTCCATCTCCAGCGCCGGCTCCGCTCCCGGCTCCAGCTCGGGGCCGTCTCCGCCGGCCGCCGCCATCCCGCCCGCACGGCCCGACGGCCTCACGCGTCACCCCGGGGGCTTCCGCGCCTCGCCCCGCCCCGGCCCGCCCCGGAACCGGCCCGGCCCCGCCGCCCCCCGGGCTCCACCGCGTCAGGCTCCATCCCGGCCCGGCCACAGCGACCCCAGCGGTGTCTGAGGGGCCAGCGCTCTATGCAGGTTGCGGGGCGCCCACGGTGGGCGGTGAACGGAGAGGGAGCGTTGGGCGGCCCCGGAACGAGGATGGGAGCGCGGTGCGGGAGGTGGGCCCACAGCGATGGTGTCCCCACAGCGATGGTGGCCCCTCAGCGACGGTGGCCCCACAGCGACGGTGTCCCCACAGCGATGGTGTCCCCACAGCGATGGTGGCCCCACAGCGATGGTGGCCCCACAGCGATGGTGGCCCCACAGCGATGGTGTCCCCACAGCGATGGTGGCCCCACAGCGATGGTGTCCCCACAACGATGGTGTCCCCACAGCGATGGTGGCCCCACAGCGATCGATGGTGGCCGCGAACCCGCTCCTGGCCCGGCCCTTCTCCTCGCCCCGCGGGCCTGGCCCGCCGTGCTGATACAGAACCGCCGGCTGGAAATGGCAGCCGCTCCCTGCCAAGTGTTTTACACCAAGCTCACAGGAATCGGGAYACCAGAGCTCCGCTTACTGTCAAATCATAGCCTTTCCCCTGCCGCTTTTGGGCATCCTCGGAGCCCGAGGGAGAGGTGGCTGCCCGACCCCTCAGAGGTTTGTGCCTCTCTGCTGGCGGCAGAGCCTCCCCAGCATCCCTGGTCCAGCATCCCTGCTCAGCCGCTGTTCTGTCCAAGGGTTGATCTGCTTTGGAGGTTGGAACTGGCTGATCTTTGAGGATCCAACCCAAAACATTCTATGCTTCTGTGAGCTGCTGCCGTGGAGCACCAGAAGAGATACTCCCAGAAGAACCTCAGTGCATGTCCTTGGCTGGGATGTGAAAAGACAGCTTTGCTCTTGAGCCGGGGCATTGGCAGGAGTTAATCCACAACCAGCAAATGTGTCAGGCAAAGTGCTCTGGTGCTAGTCGCAGATGGACCTGGAGCTGACCCTGGTTGTACCATACACACACACAGGCAAATCAGAACCTGTGATTTCAGTTCATCACTCTTTGAACACAGTTTAACATCAGTGTGGTCAGTAATCATCAGAAGAAGCAGCAGCTATATGCTGTGATAATGAGAAGATTCAGAACCCAAGGGAACTAAGTCCAGGCTTTAAGAAGCAGACTTGCTTCCTTGTGATGCATAGAGGAGCCAAGAAGAAGGGAGTAGCAACCTCCAACCTGCTTAAAACACTTCATGTACACTAAAGTCTCTGTCATCTTAGACTGGAAGAAACAGAAACAAATCAGTTTGCTTGTACCAGCCAAAAGTTTGAAACAATGTGTGATGTAACAACAGTGCTCAGTTCAAGGGTGTCCAGAATACTGTGGATGAAAACCATGGTCCACCCGTCCTTCTTTTGGTGCTCTTATGAACTCAGGATTTTACCACCACAATTCTGAGGTGACAGCTCATATTGCTGAGAGGAGGAAGTTGTCAGGGCTATGCCCAGCCTTCAAGAGTGTGCCATAGTGAGTAGGAATGAACAGGTCACTTGCCATTGGACTTGATTAATTTGTTTTCCAAGACTRTGGATTCACAAATGTAAGCCCTGATGTGAACCCAGAGACAGCTGCAGAACACTTCACCAATATCTTTAATTTCTTATCAGCCTAATTTTTCCCACTCTATGAAGATTGTGCTGATTCCAGTATAGTTTTAGGACTGAGTTTATGTAAGCACAAGAGTAAGGTCACTTGGATTTTGCTCTTGTTTTCTGTRGTGCTTTAAGCCTAGTTCTCCTCAAGGTGTGTCCTGTGACCTCATTCAGGAATCAAGACTTTCTATAGATCAGTTTGCTCCTGTCTTCAGAACTAAAGTTAATAAATACCTTACAAAAGCAGTTCAGAGACCTGATCATCCACTTAAATAGCCTATTTCTCAATCTGAAGGTTAACAGCACTGGAGAATTGTGAAGTGATTAAGGGTAGRTAGCTATTGTGCAGCAATTTAGTACTCAGATGTGCTTAACTCCATAAAAAGGTCAGAGCTTTTCCCAGGCCTCTACAAGCAGTGGAAAACAGAATTTTTGCTTTTCCTCTCTCCCACCCTAAAATCACTTTGCTTCAGTATGTATGCATGATGCACGAGACAAAGTATTTATAGTGCCACCTAGGTAAACTTGTGACTGCCGTTTCCATTAATTCCTTCTTAAAATCCTGGGAAATTCTTGCAGTAGAAATTGCAGTAATAAAACAGCCTCAATTTGCAGTCGAGCAGTGAATGCACAGGGAGTGCCACAGAAAAGGCTGCATATGCAGCAGCTGGTCCATGCTAAAGAGGCCATTTGGTGTGAAAAATAATATGGAAGAGGCAATGTTTGTGAGTTGTTTGGGGGTTTTGGAACTGTTTTGAAGGAGTACACCAAGAGAACAAAGCAAGGCAGCTTTTTCTTCTCTCAGACCATTATCTGCACAGAAGCACACACTGCAGTGGCATGTGGGGAGATGAATGGTAGGACATGTCCTGCTGTCATACATCACCATTAAAGGCTATTTCACCATTCAGTCATAATTCCAAGGCCTTTAGTTATTGTTTTTACTTGCCTATGGGTTCTTTCCACCTGATTCCCCAGCTATAAAACAGTCACATCCAACACACTGAGATCTGTGTATGAAAGTGCAGACAAYATTTCTTTTTTGCAAACAAGTCATGTGGCTTATGAACAATAAACCAAACAAGTGTTATTTTTAAATTTTGTTTCATTTATTTGGCAGTAATATCCAAACCCCCCTGCTTCAAAAAAATTACAAAATCAAGTAAAATAAGTGCACTAAGGAAACCTACAGAATACTGATAAATTTCACACACATACAGGAGGGAATATAGAGGGAGTGGGCCTTTTTTGTTTGTTGCTTACATTTGGTTTTTTGGAAAAAAAAAAACCAAACCAAAAACAAAACCCTTCCCTGCCCCTTGTAGTCTGTACAGCAATGGTCCCAGAGGGCAATGGCTGAAGTTCAGCACTTCCTTCCCCAGCAGCCAGATGATCCTGCAGGAGTTAGTGACTGAGCAGCCTGCAGCAGACTGGGTATCACTCAGTCTGGGCTGCCCTTCCTCTCYGTGCAGGAGCTGAGATGTTTCCATCCCCTTTGAGAATTGTTGCACTCAGAACGAGCAGTGTTTTCCACCCATCCCTTCGCGAGGCACAAGGAGGAAGAGGCTCCAGAGGCAGCATTTCCAGAGGCTCTGTTGCTGCACTCCCAGCTTGCTGCCCCAGGCTACTCTAGAATTTGTTGTATGGCTTCTTGGAGAGCTCAGCTTGCCACAGACCGCAGCCCATCCCTCTGCTTTCAGTGCAAGTGCAAGCTCTGTAAACTCAGCTGCCAGCACACATCTCTGGCTGCCCCAGCAGCCACCCCCATCCACACAGCCACAGCAGACAGGAGGGGACAGAGAACMCATCACACAGTGCAGCCTGCAGAAGCCCTGAAGCCATGCATTCACCTCCCCTTCCTGAAATCTGGTTTTCACAGTTGGAGRTATTCCTGACTGAACAAGATGTTATTCCCATCCAGGGAAAGCCTTTAAGGCAAGCTGTTGTGTTTTCTCTAAGGCACTTTAACAATCCAAGCTGGAAGGAAGCGATCTGGGAGGCACTAACTACCTTTCAGAGCAGGGTCAGAAGAAAGCAAAACATTTATTAACAATGTTCCTGTGACTCCAGATCCAGCACATGAAGCCCTTTCGCTCACAGTCTTGGGAAGGAGCAAAGCTATATCTAATGAGTGCTCCTATTTCACCAACCACTTCTTCCAGTGCCACCAGAACACAAATAATGACTCTGTCCCAGTGTAGCATTGTCCACTCAGCTCACATGGACTCATTCCCCCCACCCTCACAAGTGACAGCTGCTCAGATCCAGGCCCTCATGAGGAAAAAACGCAGCCTCCTTCTGTATTCAAGATGCCAAACTCTCCGTGGTGAGGTACGCTATGGTTCTCACTGGAAAAGCAGCACTRTGCCAAAGTCAATTGAAATCCTCTGGCTTCACATCAGGAAAACAGCTCAAAGACCAGACAGCCTTTAACACATCTGGCTCATGGGCAAGAGCACAGGAGGGACCAAGCTTTCTTCTCTTCCCATACTWCTAGGTACCAACTCATTCTTCCTCTCCGAGGAAAGCAAAAAGGGGAMGGTTGGGCCAAAAGTCCTGCTGATCTTCACTCAAAACGGACATGCTTTTGCAAATGCAAGTAGAATTTTGTTTGAGTAAGCAATAGTGACTGCAAGACACCTAGCAACAACTGCTGAAGTTGCTCACAAACAGAAAGATGGAAGTCACAAGCAGTCATCTCAGGGCACATGCAACTGCTTGGGAAGCACAGCACAGGCATGAAGGGAACATGGATGTTCAGTGTGGATGAAGTACATTGGACAACTGCAGAAGAAAATCAGCTGGGCTTCAGGCTACAGAGGTGACTATCAACAAAATAGCATTTCATTTACATCTAGGACCAATGCTCTGAGAAATGTGTGGCATGAGACTGACCCATGAAGGAATGTGAGAGTGGTCAAAGGTGGTCTGATCAATGACACTGAGAAATGCATCAGTTATGAGGCCTCCAGCCCTGACTCCAAATTCATACCTGGAATCAAAGAATAATGCTACTGCCTCACCCCAGGGGAAGATAAAAAGCCCAAGACGATGCCAACAGCACAACTAAACAGTTTTCTATGAAGTTAAGCCTTTTAAGATTATTAATTAATGTATTAATGGGACTGCCTGRTCCCTCTGTCTCTGAACTGCTTTGGGCAATTTAGAGAGGCGTGAGCACAGACTTTGAGCACACGGTCAATGCTAGCTAAGGAAGCGAGAGCTAGAGAGCTGCAGTGGCAATCTGTGTCTGGTGAAACTAATTACATCCAGCCCTGTCTGTTCTTCCCACGAGGGATACACTGCTATCCCCAGCTGGGAAATACCCTGTAGT